GACTTTAAATAGATAAATCAATATTTTCATATGTATCTATCTATTTGTTCGCTTGAAAAACAATTATATAATACATACATATGTACACATAGATATATATATATAACATCTCGCCGTTGACCAGTTCATATTTTTTATAATAGTTTGGATTTTGTTGTTATAAATGCATGGATTATATACAAACAAGTTATGTATAAAACAAATCAAGAAGAATCTTTTTACAAAATCTCGCGGAAGAGTTAAATGCGCCATATGTTGCCCAAAGACGAAAGTCCCAAAATTTTAATACAACTGGAGAAGAAACTGAATCCGACGATGCTTTAGGCAAACGACCATTTTGTCAGATAAGAAAACTGCAAAATAAACCATAAAGTTGGAAAATGTTATTCGCGTAAAAAATTTGTATGCGGTAAATGTACGAAGAAAATTATGTACAAATGCCTTTTCTGTAGTACATAACGGCGTTGTACTTCACGTTTAGTTTTTCACTAAAGACTAAAAAAAATTCAATATAACTAACAATTTTTTGTTCAATAAGTTAATGATATTACTGTTAAAACTTTAAATTTTATAATTACCTATATGTTTAATTTCTTTCTATTTGTAATTTACGAAAAGGTATGCTTGGAGCCAAATTGGCTCTTACGATCTTTCTAAAGGAATCGTCAAATCCGGTCCTTCTAATGTTAAAGTTTACTAATGTTAAAGTTTACACTATTGCGCTAAAGTTTACTAATGTTAAAGTTTACACTATTGCGCTATAACACGCAATAAACGATTGAAACGCGATTTGGTGTACACACTCTTCGCGCGTTATCGACTGCAAGCGTTACTAGTACGTACCTTCTTGTGTTAGAAATTGGAAAAGGACAATTCCGACGACGACAACGTTTTTTATTAAGAAGTTTCACATTTTTCACTGTGCATCGTAATAATTCTGATCCTAGGATACGTAGCGCAAAAATAAAACTATTTTCATTATATAATTCGTCCCCAAGCTATCGATTAAGCTATATATTGAAATCAATCCATTCAGCCGTTATTGAAANAAGGTATCATCCATCCTTGGTAAAGGATAACAAGTCTAATTAGTAACTGCATCAGTTCTCTATAATCTACCACAAACCTAGCAAACCCATCCCTTCTTCCTACCATGACCGCAGGAGGGAACCCAGAACTTTGCGATTCTTCTATAATACCCTGACGTTTCATATCCTCAATAATTGATTCTACCTCCTGACGCATATGAATTGGAATTCGCCTAGGAGTTTGCTTAATTGGCTTAGCTCCAGAAACATCGATAGAATGCTCCAAAATTTTACAGTTCCCAGCAGAAACATCTTCTGCAAAAATGTCTTGAAAATCGCCTAAGAAAGAAGCAAAGATCTTCCTCCTTCTGCGGAACATCCAATCCTTCCGAACTATTTTCAAAAAGCTCCTGCGGAAAAATCGGAACCTTACTCTCCGAAATTACACGAGAAGAAATAAACATCTCCCTTTCCGATCGGATCTTGCTAGTAAATTCTTTTTCAAAAATTTCTTCAAATTGAAACTTCTTTAAAAAGTCGACACTTAAAATACAATCATCAGAAATGTCAGCTACAAAGAAAGGAAATTCTACTTTATGCCTACCTACATCTACTCTTGCAAGCACTTTATAATGCACTCTTAATTACCTCTTCCCCAGTCGGATATCTTAGAAAATAATTTCTAACTGGAAAACGCTATGTATAAATTTTTACCAATTTTCTACTAAATAAAGAAATATCGGAACCTGTATCAATTCTAAAATTACACACCTCTCCATCTGTTTCGTATGGAAGAAGCGAGTGCGTGAACTCTGTGTATAAAAACAAACTCTCGAGATAATCTAAATTTCACGTTTCTGGAAGTTTCTCGAGAGGATGCCTTGATTTGCAAGAAGTGCTTCCAAATAGTGCTAATATCGACGCTTCGATGTCACATTCCGAGTTGTTGTTGTTCCATTTCTTATGAACAGCTAACATGTATGTAAACTAGTTGGCCGAGCCTAGCTCGTGTAAATTCGTCAAAACAATAGCATCCAATGCTGATTGGAATACTGATTAAAAACTCGAGCACAAGACATTGTTTTCTTTCATGTGACATCGAAGGACGGTCGTATTCGTTACTCTTCAAGTCTGAACGTGAATCCAGATTAAACCAATCCCGCTCGAACACGGTTGGTTTTTCGCGAACTATAAATATTAAGGCTAAGGCGATCCGAGAGACAACGTCGTCATTCTTTACACAAGTCCGGTACACCGCAAGCACTAAGTTAAGTGTCTCCCACTCTCTATACGGATTCTCGCAAGAGACTCACTTTTTTGTTGATTATTAAACGAGCTGTTTTTAAGAAAACAAATCTAGTGATTTGAAACTCCTGTACCGTATCCAAACGCATTTTATCGCAACTTTCTGTCGCGTGGGAATCAGCGACATTTTATTGCACGTGTCTAACGTTCACCACTTTGCAACCGATCAACGAAGAGCTTCTGTTTCAACGCAGCGAAGAAGCCCATTATCATCATTAAATTCGAGGCAAGAAGGTAACGTCTGATACACCATCCACTAAACCCTTGTAACAAAAAGAACTTTCTTTCCCAACAACTCTACCATTCCTAAAGAAAAATTATATTTATTTTTATTCAGTCTTTTGACGGGGATACATTTACTAATAGTCGAGCTCCTGCCACTCAGCTCGACCCAACCAAGTTTCCCTTCTCCTTATGACCTAATGAAGGACACTCTGACCGAAAATGCCCACTTGCGCCACATTGCCAGCATTCTTTCCCACTAAGTCGCTTACCACGATTATCCCGTAAATTCCCTTGCTGTTCCCCAAAGATTCCTTCGAAACCCTTTATCTGCTTATTCTTTACTCTATCGAAATTTTTATTTTTCCTTGAAAAATTATTGACGTTCTTAAAGTTATTCCGGTACCCCCTTTCGAAACTATTTCTCTGGATAGTTTTTATTGCTATACTTCTCTCAACGGCCGATCTTAATGAATTTACCCCTTCTGACTGTAACGTTTGTTTAACAAAATCGTCCGACAAGGCAGAAATGAATTGCGCGCATGCTATTTGATTCGCACCGCGAATCACACTCCGCATACGCTAAACGTGCCAACCGTTCAATCTCATTTCCAAGAGACGCGTAATCCTCATTGAATTTTTGTTTTCGATTAGTGAACTGTAAATAATATGACTGAGCCGAGAGCCCCTCTCCAAAAAGTAATTCTAATTTCGCCTTAATCTCCAAAAACGAAATCGCTCCGATTTCCATGTTCCCGTCAAGAATTGAGCGTACCTTTCCTCGAAGACACGAAACAAGAGCCACAGTCTTGGCCGAATCGCTTCAACCATTTGAATGCGCAATTAAATCAAACTGCGTCATAAATTCATGAAGAGGAACGCTTCCGTCATAAATATCCGTTTTTAATTTAAACCCGAGATCTAATTGCATACTACCTACCGGATAACTAACTTCATTCGGAAAAATATTATTAGAAGAACTTAGCTGGATCAAACGCTCCTCTAAATACTTCAGCGCTTCGTCCCGCTGAAGAAGCTGCGACTGGAATTCGGCCTCTCGTGCCTGCTGCCGCTGCCTTTCCTCGCGTAACGAGTTCAGCTCCTCACGTATGGCCCGCAACATTTCCACTTCACTTGGCTGCTCCGGCGTCATTACACGAGGCCTCTTTCTTAACCGTTTGAGTCCCAAGCAGCGCGATCGCGCTGTTCAGATTTTATGTCGAGAAAACCCAGTACATTTCGATCATTGTGGACAACTGACGGTGCGTTACCGATTGTCGAAGTCGCGCGCTCAGATTTACTGAAGCAAGTATATCACACCGATCCTTTTAATGTAAATAGTACATTTTATAATAGGTAGAATAATACTATAATAATGCAATAATACATTACAAAATAAAAATTTTTATTTCATTGTTATCTTCTCAATAATTTTTATCGAACAAAACTTGAAATATTTATAAATTTACAGTACGCATATGTAATAATACAGATGTATTTTATAAAATAACGAATTACAAATTAACAATATTTTTGTGTTATGAACAAATAATTTAAATGGAGAGTAACAATTATAATTTGTAACATCGGTGTTTATCAAAACATGTTGGATGGATTCCTTTTGCTCCGTTGCTCCGTTGCTTCGTCTAATCATTTTGAAACACACAATTATTAACAATGAGAAACACTTACGCAAGAATACGTCCGATCGCTTTGCAAACTACAATAAATGTGACAGAGCGATGAGAAAAAGACGAGAATCGCGTTACCTAACAAATACAAGAAGCGGTATTGGTCCGATTGGGATTCATCGATGTAAAATAAACAAAGCGCTATCGGGCTGCTTGGTATTTCTCGACCTAAAATAAAACAAGCGCTATCGCGCTGCTTGGGTCTTTTCATACTCATTTATAGAAAGCGCGGTTGCGCTGTTTGGGATTCTTCGACAGTGTTTTTTCAATACCCCTGGGACTCAAACGGTTAATTGTATTCCTGACACAGACGCCGTTGACGCGTCACCGGAATTCATCCCGCACGAGCCCCCAAAATGTTACGTTCAAGCGTCGTTTTCCTCTCACTCACGATCTCCCGCGTAAATAGTAAGCAACACTCCCGTGAACAAATAATAAGAACTCTTTAATATAAACAAAACTTTGTACAAGGCTTGCAAACAAGAACAATTATTCAAAGGAAACTTGTAACATCCAAGTACATCCAAGCGATCGTATCGTTACGCTGACTGCCGCTGAACATCACGCGGTCAGCTGAGCGCGCACTCCTCGACCCGCGCTGTCTTCAAGCCGTTCGAAGCGCTCACCCGAGTCTAGCCGAAGACCCGGCAGCAACGCTCGGGAGCGATCGGCCGCCGAGCCGAACTCGCGGCGCCGCCGAGACGATACTCGGCGAACGCCGCATAATCACGATTAATCCCGATCAAAATCGGATTAATCAGCGAAAGGAACCGAAGACGAGACAAGACGAGTATATAATCTCGACAGTTTTTGACAAGAGGACAGTTTTTGGAGAGTCTTCGAAGAGTCTGAGGAGATTCATCGTCTAGGAATAGCCGTCAGAAAGTCTGCAAAGCGCCTCCAGAAGATCGAAAGTTTCGAGTAAGTAATCTAACAGACACACATACACACACACCAAGAAAACCGACGCCTAATTATTCACCTTCTAATAAAATCTCTGTGCGCGATTCGCTGCCAACGATCGCAACGCAGGGTCGGGTCAATAAAGAGAGCGAACCCGGAGGCGCGAATGTTACAAACTCTCAACGTAATTTTACCGAACCGCTCGATCGCTCCACAGAAAGTTACCCTTGCTGTCAACAACAACAACAACCGTAACAACGGTTGCTAAGATGAGCGCCTACACATTCCACGTTCGGCAAGACGTATATACGGGAGCATAACAATATCCTTCTTATCATAGACACATAGCAACAAAAAGTTTAAAAACTTACTAGCGAAATCTTTATGAGATGAGTGTTTGATACTTCGGCATTAATAGTCAGAATATTTACAGCTTCCTTTTGTAACTGAGATGAAGAGGAAATTACTTTAAAAAAAAACATCATCTAATTAAAATGAAAGAAAATGACAGAACTATTCACTATTTTCCTGCCATTACTTTTTTTTTCGTTTTTTCTTTTATTATTTTTTCTCAAATTCGATGGAAGCAAGAAAATACTAAGAACGATCAGAGTTTGTAAAGCATTTGATAATAAAAGGTACTATAAAAAATTTTACTTTTCAGTCAGAACTACACTGACCAATAAGTAGATTTAAGAGTAAATAGAAACAATTTATTCTTTCGAATCATCTACCATTATGAACAGAAAGATCGTTAGTCCTCCTCATGATATCTGGCCTGTACTATGTAGCATAAGTAACAATTTTATTAGTATAAAAGGAAAAAAATTTTGCTAAAAAAGTTGTCCACATAATTTGGGTAAATACCAATGAAATCTTGTTCTATCTAAAAAATAAACAAACCATAATCTGCATTTCTTTTCTGAAATTGAAACTTTCTTCACTCTGGTAGTCTAGAAGGCGTAAATATCTTTTAAAAATACTTGATATAATAGGGCCAGGTTATATTGAATTGTTCAAAATATTACGTCCTGGAGGAGGAACGCAACTTGATGCTTGCTTTCACAAGCTCCGACGTACTCGCAAGTCTGCGGTGCAGATCAAGGATCGGAATGACCCCTTTATCTGGCGCGGACGTACGTTGGTGGTCCTTTATTTAGGTCAAGAAATTGAATCCCTTTACCTGGGATAGGACCGTGAGCGACAGTTGAGGGAAGGGAGAATTTTTATTGTGAATAATTAGTTGGAAAACGTGATTGGCTTACAATTACAAATAACTTGTTTTATTGATGATTAGACGGAAGTTCACAATGAAATAAAATTTGTAAGATTTTATAATATGTACGTATACATATATGTATAACAATCGCGGTCTGAGCAAAATTCCGTGTTCGTTATGTCTGATTGAGATCGAGAAGATTGGGCCACTGACACCGAATTTCACAATCACAAGGAGGAATGCTAAGGGGGATAGAGAACAGGAAGAAAAAGAAAAGGAAAAGAAAAGAGAGAGAAGAAAAGAAGAAAAATGAAAAGGAAAGAGATCACTCAGGTAAAAAAAAGAAAATAAATAACTTACTGCTAGATCTATGCTATTTGTCGGAAATGAAGAGTGTAATTGCTGTGTCTGTGAGGATGGACTCAAGTTTTGCGCCAAGAATAGGAAGCTGGTTTCCGCTGGATTGCTCACGATGGTCCAAAAATGCACGAGATCGTTGCACAGAATAATTAACAACTGGAATAAATACTGATCTGTCTAAGCCTAGTAGGCTAGATTGTTAGGAGACCCTGAAGGGGTGCTGAAGAGAAGTTTCTGTCCCGGCTGCGGGTCGGTCGAGAAGTGTCTTGGCCTTTTGGCTTTTATCAAAACGTTAGCTCGGTTGAGAGAGTGGGGTTTTAGGGAATTGTTTCGGAAATCTAATTTTCATGCCCAAATATGGTTATAGGACTGTGCTTCGAATGTTTTTTAGAGGTGGGGTTAAGAATATGTCGCAGTGTCTTTAAGATAATTTTGTAGGAGATGCATGTGGCAATAAGAGGATTTCGAGAGTCTTTTGTTAAAAAAAAACGTGGCAGCAATCTTGAAAAGGAAATATCGATATTTCTAAGAAGGATGTCGCGATACTGTTTTCGTTGACTAAGCGCGTGGGAAACAAGATCGGAGTTGGTTCAAGATTGTTAATATTTCCGGAGCATCGAAACTTCCAGAGATCGTGTCGTGTGGTAACATGCCTGAGCGTATCCGGCCATATAATAAGTAATAATAAATTCAATTTCCCTTATTTATAAAAGAAGTCTAGAATACGCGGAGTCCGCAAGACGTAACAAAAAATTCATTGTTTTTTCTGTTTTTTCTAGTGACTTTCAAGACCATTTATTTTATACAAAGAATAAAAATTAATCAATGATATTGCCCTTTTCGTTCAATGACCTTCTGCCATCTTTCGGTAAACTTCATAATTCCATTCTCGAAAAATTTCCTATCTGTATTAACTCATTAACGCCCAAAAGTCCTAAAATATTAGCCTTATTTGCAACTGTATTTTGCGTAGAGAGACATATTATATAAGGTTAGAATAGCATTTCCTTATGTTGTTGGGGTCGTTCTACAAAATTCCGGCATCAGAATTCGTTTAGATTTACAATAAAATTAAATATGGCGGAATTTTTGGGAAAAAGTCGTGAAAGATCGACAATTTTATTTTTTAAGCTTGATTTCGTTTCAAAAACGTTACTTTGATACAGATACAAGTGTACATCTTGTCTCAAAAATGTTGAACTTTCAAGGTATGCATTGGTGAAAATGTGAATTCAAGATGGCTGCCTCAAAATGACGGTTTGAGCGAAAAAACTTAAAAAATAATGTATTTTTAGAATAACTCCGCAAAATCCAAGTATTTAACATCAATTTAGAATCAAACCTGTGTGTGGTCGAGGTTATCATGATGAAAGACTATTGCGATTTCTCAATTCTGACCGCTTTTCTGCTATTGCTTCGTTCAATTTGTCGAACTGTTGATAGTCCGAATTGATCATAACATTTCTTGGTAAAAGATCGAAAACCACCACATCCTTCCAATCCCACCAGATTGAGAGCTTCATCTTTCTTTGGTGGGTGTCTGCTTTATATGTGCTTTGAGCTGGCTCATCGCGCTTGCTCCACGATCGCTTTCGCTTCACATTGTTGTGTACAATCCATTCTTCATCGTTAGTAATTATGCGTTTCAGAAATGGGTCGTTTCAGAAATGTTCACGTTTCAGAAGTTGATCTCAGATGTCTATGCGTTTTATGAGTTGAACTTCTTTCAATTCGTGCGGGACCCAAACATCAAGCTTACTGACGTAATCAAGTTGTTTCAAATGAACCGAGCTCACGAATGGGAGAACGTTGCTTCAATTAATGCTTTTAATTTATCATCATCAACCTCCGATGGCCGACCTGAGCGAGGTGCATCTTTCACGCTGTAGTCATCAGACGAAAAACTAACAAAAAACCAATATTGACAATGGCGTTCTTTTAGGGCTTCGTCACCATAAATTTTACGCAACTTCTCACAAGCCTGCACAGCGTTCTTTCCTTTTCGGAAGTAATAAAATAAAACTTGGCGAAAATGCTCGTGTTGTTTCTTTATTTTCAAAACGTTATAGAAAGAATAATTGTTGATCGATTCGCGCACCTTTTTCCTTGATGGAAGTTATAAGTGTTAACTGTCAAATGCGCATGGGTTCATCAATTTATACATGCGTTCAATATATTAAATATGTAACTAAAGCCATCTATCGGAAATAAACGCAATGATTTTTTGAACCAATACAATCCATTGTTTTCTATTTTGAAAAGCTTCCTCAAGACAGTTTTTAGTTGATTCTTCATTGCCCTCGGATAGCAACTTATGTCTCATCTACGATACCTGGAACCAAAATACAAATCAGAATAATTATATCGTATGCTTAAACAAATTTTATTTAAAAGCAGAGTTTCCAAGATACATTTTGCACAATACACCCGAACCATTCCTTCCAAAAGAGATTCGTGGATGGATACTATGTCACTACTTGAAATTCTAGTACTTTCCCTTATGTATTATGCTTTGCTCTTTATTGCTGTTCTGGAGTATTTCTTCTTTGTAGAAGAAAGTCCATAATCAATATTTAATCATGTTTGCTTAGTTTTGGAACTATAGTAATGTTCTTAAAAATATTGCATTGGATATTAATAATGAATATTATTAATGTATGATGAGAAATATGTCATAATATGACTGAATATCGTCCTTTTTAATTTATATCCTTTATATTTTATCACATTACTTTTTAGTAGGGAGAATTCAGAAACAATGGTGCACAAGAGATATTTTTATTTCTTCCGGATAGCCAAAACAAAATGCTATTATATTTTACGCACTATTATGATAGAGATCGAATCATGAATTATGAAATATCTACTTACTAATTACCATTTTGTGCTGAAATAAAATAATGATACACACGAGAGCTTTCCTATCACGTTGTTGGTTTGTTCAGACAAACTTGCCTAGTTACGTAACCATATGTATAAAAAAAACTAATCAATTACATTTATATAAAAAGAACAATTTGGATAATTTTTGTTTATCTATATGATTATACAACTATTCAAAACTATCTGACTTAACTTGAAGTGGACAGAGAGATTGAAATCTCGGGCCCATAGTTAAATGAAGAAGAAAACTTATCTGATAGTTCTTATATAATCTAATTTTGATTGGTACATGCATGCAATATATACTGTATAAGAACATGCGAATATTAGTTTTTATTTCTATAATGTAAAAATTTTACTTATCAACTTACCAATAATGAAGATAGTATAAATCTCTTTACTGGTCCAATAAACAAATTGACCGCAAATTTGCAGCAATTTCAATGAAAACCCCATATTAAAACCATAGCCATCTGTGTCTACATTCAACTCGTTTTGGGGTCAAGGACTGCTGCCGGGTAACTTGCGGCAAGCTCTGTTGCGTATTTGGCGGCAGTTTGGAAACAGAATTTGATAATACAGATCCTGCGTCAAATTTGTTACCAATCTGCCATCAAAAATTCATAGTAAACTTTGCTCGAAATTTGTTCGCACAGGTTTGGCTATCTGAGTGATATTGAACTTATATAAATTGATACATAAGATTGATAAGATAATGAAAAGGCATTGCGTGCTTTTGGGGATCATTAAGAAATAAAAATGAATAACGATGTACCGCTAATGAATCAATGAATTTTACCGGCCTTGCTGATTGCGTAGCACGTTTGGCACTGTTTCACTGATTCGTTAGTGATGTCAGATGTCATTGATGGAATCAATAACTTATTCACTGATTTAAGTATAGAAAATAATGACGATAACCCAACAAAAGAATACTTTATTGTTAGTCGATTGAACAATTTCAGGAGTCCTCTCCGCTGATGGTTATTGCAAGCCTTTCGATGCTACCGGTACCGGTTATATGCGCAGTGAAACAATCACAGTAGTGTACCTGCAGAAAGCAAAGAACGCGAAACGAATTTATGCTACTCTAATCTACTCTAAAACTAATTGCGATGGTTGGAAGCCAGAGGGGATTACGTTTCCTTCATTGAGCATACAAAAGGAATTATTGAAAGACTTTTATGACGACTGCGGCATCCCACCCGAAGAGCTGTACTACTTAGAGGCCCACGGCACTGGTACTTTAGCAGGAGATCCGATAGAAATTAATGCCATTGATCAGGTTTTATGTTCAAAGAGAACTACTCCTTTGTTGGTGGGCTCGGTGAAGTCAAATCTCGGGCATTCGGAACCTGCTAGTGGTCTTTGTCAAATAGCTAAAGTACGTATTTTAATGCTTTAACTGGCGGAAACTCAATACTACACAAAAAATAATACAAACTAGTGAAGGATATAACACTATATTTTGATATTTTTGGTAGTTTGATATTTTTGAAATTGAACGTTCAGAGTTTTGGAGTCACTCTATCCAATGGTGCACTTAAAAATTTCAGATGATGAACTTAATAACATGGATGACTTAATATTAAAAAAGATGTGTGATAATATATTCTCTATATAAAAACTTTGAATGCAAATCACTTTTTAAATAATAAAGTTTAAAATAAAAATACAAGAAAGCAAATCTACAAACAAATATAAATGACCGAAATTTTAATCACATACCATATAACTTATCATCATAAATTATACTGATTCGTTACTTTGGTATTTTATTTCTTACAATTTATAGACTTTAGATAAAAACTTTTCTACTTGAAAGTAGAAGTATTTTCAATATTTAATTTTTTTCATATACATGTCCAGTTTTATTAGGTGTGCGAATTAATTTGGTCCGTTTTTTCTTCCAAAAAAGACTTTAGTATGAAAAAACATGAAAAAGTACACTAATTAAAATATTTGCCATCGCTTGCTATTATTTTTTCCCATCTGTCTGGCAATTGTTGCATTCCGTGACGGAAAAACGACTCATCCTTCGAAGCGATGCATTCATTGAGCCATTTCTCTATTTCTTCATAATTGTTGAAGTGATGGTCCGAAAACCCGTGTGCCATCGATCCGAACAAGTGATAATCGGATGGAGCAATGTTTGGTGAATACGGCGGGTGAGATAAAACGTCCCAGCCAAGTGCTTCCAAGGTGGCCTTCACAATCTTTCCAACATGTGGCCGAGCGTTATCGTGCTGGAAGATCACTTTGTCGCGTCTCTTTGCATATTCCGGCCGCTTATTCTTTAATGCGTTGTCTAAACGGATCAATTGTTGTTGATAAAGTTCGGCAGTGATGGTTTGGCTCTGTTTTAAGTTTTAAGTTCATGATACACTACACCCTTCTAGTCCCTCCATATACAGAGCATTACTTTCTTGCCGTGAATATTCCGCTTTGTGGTATCGATGTGGATGGTTTTCCTGGGTCGCTAATGGATTTCCTTCGTTTGGGATTATCGAAATATATCCACTTTTCGTCTCCAGTCACAATACGATGCAAAAAACCTTTTGTTTTTTGCCTGGCAAGCAAGATTTCAGACATGACTTTTCGCCTCTCGATGCCTCTTTCTTTCAATTCTTTCGTATGGCACCCATCTTCCTTCTTTGGAACTCTTTCCCATGGGTGCTAAACGCACAGAAATTGTTGATCGATCAACATTCAACAATTGCGCGAGCTCATGTTGCGATTGACACGGATCTTCATCGATTAGCGCCTGCAATTCCTCGAACTTCTTCGGCTGACCTGGACGAGATTTGTCATCAACACTGAAATCATCATTTTTGAAACGTCGAAACCATTCTCTGCATGATTTATCGGTGGGAGCACTTTCACCATAAGCTTCTACGAGCATTCGATGAGCTTCAACGGCTGTTTTCTTCGAATGAAAACAGAAAATGAGAACTTCCTGGAAATGATGCTTTTTTGGCTCGAAATTCGACATTTTCGAATCATATAAACACGATGTTATTGTTACAAATCCAAACATTTATCAACTGAATATTATTGCCAGATATCGAAACTAAAAAATAAAGTCTTTTGCAGACATTAGAGATTAAAAAATTACATAGTATAGCAATTGATCGCCAGATGGACCGAATTAATTCACACACCTAATATTTTGATATCATAAAATGGTCGTTTTAAACGCTATATTGACTTCACCACTTGGGATTTGAAAAGTTTTGTCTTCATGTTTGGATACATTGACCTAAAAAAATCTGGTCTCACGAAATTTTAGCGATTCTGCTTAACTATAGCAAATCCATTTCTGTTTTATTAAGCATTTTTGTGAAATCCAGCTTGTCACGCAGTCAAATAATTAATGATGTCCTCAAGTATTCCATATATATAAAAAAAAAAAAAATATATATATACATAACACGTCACTCAATAAGTTCATAGGATGACATATAAATGGCGCTACTATTGACAAATCCACATGATTTTTAGGAAGTACTAATCTTCAAATGATACGTGTCAAAATTTCATGACAATCGGATGTTTAGTTCATAAGTTACAGTGGTTTTAGTGACGCACGACGTCGACTCGTTTTAGCAAGGCTTCAGTTTCGGCAATCACTTCTTCATTGGAGCCAAATCTCTTTCCCTGGAGCTTTCCCTGCCGATTTGACCCTGGAGTGTAGTGATGGATCTATGTTTCATCCATTGTCACATACCGCATCAAAAAGTCCTTTTATTGCGCTGAAACAGCTCCAAACAGCCCGCTGAATCGTCGACGCGTTGCTAAAACGAGTCGACGTCGTGCGTCACTAAAACCACTGTAACTTGTGAACTAAACGACCGATTGTCATGAAATTTTGACACGTATCATTTGAAGGTTAGTACTTCCTAAAAATCATGGATTTGTCAATAGTAGCGTCATTTATATGTCATCCTACGAACTTATTGAGTGACGTGTTATATATATATATATATATAACTTGTGTTTTGTCACTTCATCATGCTTGCAGTTAAGAATTTGTCGTTTCTATTAAGATTATGTGTGTTAAATTTTAACGTTTTCAAGGTGTTGATAGCGATGGATACTGGCATTATTCCACCAAACATACATTACGAAACACCGCGAAAGGAACTTACTCCTATAATTGAAGGTAGAATAAAGGTCGTCACTGAACCTATTTCATGGAACGGCGGTTATATTAGCATTAATTCTTTCGGATTCGGTGGTGCAAACTGTCATATATTAATGAAATCAAATCCCAAAAATAAAATCGACATTGAAACATCAGACCGCTTATGTAGACTTGTAACGGTATCTGGTCGTACGGAGGAGGCTGTTAAAACTCTATTAGATAATGTAAATTTGTTTAACTAAAGATATATTTTTCAAAATCAAGATAAAAAGTAGAGATTATTCAGGATTAAAATAATTTTTTTCGCGATGAGATGTATATTTCCGCTTCTGTTGCGGTAGGTGAATAGCCGACAGCTAGATGTGGAATATGTGGCTCTTCTGCATAGCATTCATGCTGTAGATATTGAGGGCCATCCGTATAGAGGATATACCTTAGCCGGATCTAAAGCTGCTTATAACAAAATAAGACAAGTTGAAAAATACCCATACCTAAAAAGACCAATTTGCTTTTTGTTCTCGGGAACAGAAGTTGAATGGCATAACGTAGGTACGAATTTTGCAATTTTACTACATAAATTTAATGAATTATATATGTACAACCTCATGTGTGCAATGCCTTTAAAATCTCATTTACGTTTCATTTGGATATATCGAAGAACTGATGAAACTACCTGTGTTTGCCAAGGCAATTGAGAAATGTAATGAGACATTAAAGCAGCATGATATATGCGTCACGGATATTATAATGAACGAAAACGAAACTACTTGCAACAGCATAATAAAATCATGCGTCGCAACCATTGCCACACAGGTATAAGAAAGAAAGATTATTTGTTTTATATTTGTATTATTTGGTCCGAATTTGGTTTATCTAAATACACATGTGCTAAATACATATCATATAATGCGTGTATTTACATAGGCACTTACCTATATAAAATCATGTTAACATATAATGTAACACATCTCAGTTAAAAGCGAGTACTTTTACGAATAACATTGTAGATTGGAATAGTGGATCTCTTAACACACGTTGGTGTCCTGTCCGATTATACGATAGGTCACTCCATTGGTGAACTTATCTGCGAATACGTTGATGGACGTTTTACTACCGAGGAAACAATTTTGGCGGCGTATTACATAGGCACAGCATACGAGCAGGCCAAGTTGCAGGTTTCAAAGATTTTAGAATTTCTTAATTACTATTTTTCGCTTTTCTTAGTGGAGAGAGATATCTCATTTATATGCATTTATAAAGCCATGCATAACAGTATTAATCACTGTTTCTTAGGTCGACGACATTACTGAGAGTCGATCCGAGTACCTTGGCATTGTTAGGTCAAAACTGTTGGAACATTTCAGCCAGATATTACCATCGCAACCTTCAAAACGCCACAGTGTAACACAATCGGGCAGGCCACGAAGTGAACGCGACATGTTCGAGACTACTGCAGAATATTACGCGGATAGTATACTGTATCCAATATTATCAAAAAAAATGGCAGCTTTGTTACCGAAAGATACGATACTCGTCGACATATTACCGACAATGCCGCAAAATGATTTTCAGTTGATCATAGCAAATTCGCTGGAGTCAACGATGACGTTGATTTCTCTGTATAAACGCGGCCAGAAGCATACCATACAAGACTTTTTAGAAGGAATCGGAGATCTTTATAATGTAGGACTTCAGCCACAGGTTGCACGTTTGTATCCGCCAGTTCAATTTCCTGTTAGTCGCGGAACACCAATGATATCTCCTCTCATTAGGTGCGTCTCTTCCTGCGTATCAAAAAATGAATCACATTTCTTTGTTTACATTACTATGACTAACTTGAAGACAATATTGCAGATGGGATCACTCTGAGGATTATTACTTATACCTTTATAAAGGCGAAAATAGAAATTTCGACAAGGAAAGAGTCATCACTATTAAAACCAGTGACGAAGACTTTGAATACATGTCTGGTCACATAATCGATGGGAGAAATTTGTTACCGGCTATGGGTTACCTTTACGAAATTTGGAATACAATTGGCTTGTTGAAAGGCATTGATCATAGGAGTATACCGATTGTATTTGAAAATGTTAAGTTCCTACGTGCTACTCACCTATCGAAAAAAGACGAAGTGGAATTAACTCTTGTGATCCAAGGATGTAAATATTTTTGCAATTACTACAGCCTTGTCTCTCGATATTTCTTTTCAAGGACATTATGATAAATATTAATTATTAACTGTATACAACCGACGATAAGAAAGAAAAGAATATCATCGCAAAGTCGCAGCGATATTAAACTCACAACAAAAAACAAACCGGCAGTGTTGATTTCAGACAGAGCAGTATTATCTTGTAATAATTCTTGTAATATTCTTATAGGTAGTAATAATTTCGAGATTATAGAGGGAGGCAATGTGATCGTCAGTGGAGTTGTGAGGGTGCCTGATGATGTTGCGAATGAGAAAATACCTGTCCAGTTCCTATCTAAGGATGACAATGCTGAGGAATACAGGAACACTTCAGATATTTACAAGGAACTACGACTTCGGGGCTATCAGTATAGAGACTTGTTCCGCTCATTGAAGAGCGCCTCAATTAATGGGAGCGTAGGGCATATCAAGTGGTCGACGAAATGGGTGTCGTTTATGGACAATATGTTACAAATGAAAATTCTGTCGCTCGACTCGAGAAATCTTTACGTACCGACTCAAATTCGCAAATTAGTAATCGATCCCGAATATCATATGACACTGATACGCAAACTCTTAGTGGAGGAAAGATGTAAGTCTGCTTAGTTTACTTTTAAAACAAATTTCGTATTCCGACTTAATGCGCTCATTGTACAGGTTTCCTCTCTTTCATCTCGATAATGCTCATCTTTTACAGATGTACCCGTACGCGTTTATGATTCTTTCGAAGCTATTGTATCCGGAGGAATAGAAATTTGTGGACTAAAGTCCATGGTCATATCCCGCCGGCCAGCACAAGTTGAACCTGTACACGAGGAATACAAGTTCATTGCTTACCGCGATCATACCACGATCTCCTTGGAAGATGCAGTGCAATTATCGGTACATATCGCTCTTGAATATTACGATTTGAAAAACGTCAAAGTGGTTGAGATCGTTGAGGACGACGACAAGATTCTGCTGGAGGATTTAGTTACTCCAATCGTTCACATGGTTCTAAGCAACTTGCCGTTAGTGCGACCTAATCTCACCTTAATTGCAAAGGAGAACCGATTTGACAGCTCCTCCTTACCTCAAGGTCTATCAGTCATACAGCCTCACAAAATATTGAATGGCGATACGTTTTTAATGGTCATTGGCGTTGGGATATTGGCGAAAGGTGCACGTTCCTTATTATCCAATGTAATGGCTGGTGGTTTTCTATTTACTCGAGAGGATCTCAACGTCACGTATGACAACGAGCTACTGCAACAGTACAATTTAAATATCATTTTGAAAAAACGCACAGAACGAGAAACAGTGCTGCTTTTGAGAAAGGCGGAAAGCGCTATAACGAGACGAGAAGTCATACGTATAAACAATTACGAGTTTTCGTGGATCGATAAGCTCAAATCTGCGATGGACGCGGACTACGGGACGAATTCAAGAATAACACTCGTTGCTGAAGACGACTCTGTTTGCGGTATATTAGGGTTTGTAAATTGTTTGCGAAGGAGCCAGGCGGCGAATCAGTTAGATGCGTCTTCATCCAAGATAAGGACGCGCCCAAATTCTCCTTGCAAGAACCTTTTACATGAATCAGTTACGACTGGACTTACCAATTAATGTCTTACGTCCCGGAATATTTGGGGCTCTTACAGACACTTATCATTACCGCCGCCGAAACTGATACCTGTGCAATGCGGTTATGTCGTCAGGGGGTACGTAGACATTTATTTTTACAACAAAAATTACAACAAACAAGAACCACGGAAAGGAATTTACCAAAACTTGTTGAACCTTGTGCCAGTAAAACTCGAATAATTAATCTTCATTTCAAATAAAATACTTTGTACAAGAAATACAATATCAACGATAGTACAAATTATAAAACGGACTTAATTTCCTTAGATTCGAGGTGATATGAGCACATTCCGCTGGGTCGAAGGACAGGTATCTCCCAAATTAAAGCGTAAAAATATCATACATACAATTTACGCGACACTGAATTTCAAAGATTTATGATAGCAACTGGCAAAATTGCGTTGGAATCCTTTCAAATGATTGGACGAGATATCGATTCTTTCTTAGGCTTCGAGCTAGTTGGTTATAATGGGTCTAGACAGAGATAATGGCAATGTGCCAACAGGTGAGATAATATAATCGAAATTTATTGTTCTGTTATTATTATATCGAAATACAATTTTATGATACTTTTAATAAACTTTAGATTTTGCATTAATGCAGATACATAATTAATTATGCAATTTCCTTGATCGTAAGACAGCTTAAAATAAGGAAATGCTTATTATTTTCTAGAGGAATATCAAATGTTATAATAAACGACCACGTTTGTCTTGGGTTATTCCCGATGAATGGACATTCGAGGACGCTGCCACTGTTCCGTGTGTTTATGCCACAAGCTGCTACGCTCTCTACGAGAAAGGGAAGATGAAGAAAGGAGACAAAGTTCTCATTCATTCGGGCACCGGTGGCGTTGGTCAAGCTGCAATCCACCTGGCGCTTTACGAAGGATGTGAAGTGTTTACGACAGTCGGGACTTTGGAGAAACGACAATTCGTTAGAGAAACATTCCCTTCGATCCTTGACGATCATATCGGCAATTCTCGCGACACAAGTTTCGAACAAATGATCCTTGAGCAGACACACGGTCAAGGGGTAGATATTGTGTTAAATTCCTTAGCTGAAGAAAAACTTCAGGCGTCTGTTCGATGTTTGGCGAAAGGCGGACGATTCTTAGAAATAGGAAAATATGACTTGATTGCCGATAATACCCTAGACATGAAGATTTTTGCAAAAGGCATCAGTTTCCATTCGATTATGTTAGACAATATAGTAAATTCCACCACGATAAATAACGAAATTGTATATAAATATATGCTGCAAGGCCTGAAAAACGGCTCGATAAAACCGCTCCCGAGGAAAGTGTTCGAAAGGACCGAAGTAGAAGCTGCCTTTAGATACATGGCAGCTGGCAAGCATATAGGAAAGGTAATTTCTCGCGCAGACAAAGTTTCTTCTTTTTATTGTTGGCGCTCCGTGAACGATCATATGAAATTCTACTACTACTTTTCTTATTTTCAGATCCTGATAAAGATACACGATGAAAACGAGCCATTAGGTCTTCCTGTTCTCGCTTATCCACGATTTTTCTGCAAGCTTCACAAGTCTTACATCATTTTAGGCGGCCTAGGCGGCTTCGGTCTGGAATTAGCCGACTGGCTGATTCTTCGCGGAGCAAAGAATCTTCTTCTAACTTCGCGCACTGGGCTGCGAAACGGTTATCAGCGCTCAAGGATGGAACTGTGGAGATCTTACGGGGTGAATGTGCAAATTATCGCGGGTGCTGATGCGTCCGATCGCAAGGACTGTGCGTTCATTTTGAATTCTGCCGCTGAAATGGGACCGGTGGATGCTATATTCAATCTTGCCGTGTGCTGAAAGACTCGATTTATAAGAATCAAACCGCTGAGTCCTTTAAAGAATCATTCAAGCCGAAGGCAATGGCCACGAAGATGATGGACGAGCTATCCAGAAAGATGTGTCCTGATCTCCGGCATTTTATCGTCTTTTCGTCCGTCTCGTGTGGCCGAGGAAACGCCGGACAAACAAATTATGGTATGGCCAATTCTGTCATGGAGAGGATATGTGAGAGGAGAGTACAGGACGGATTACCTGGGATGGCTATACAGTGGGGTGCGGTGGGTGATGTGGGCCTCGTAGCAGATATGCAAGAGGATAATAAGGAACTGATTATCGGCGGTACTTTGCAACAGAAAATTCAGTCCTGCCTTGAGTCATTGGACACTTTTATGATACTAAATCGACCGATCGTGAGCAGTATGGTCGTGGCTGAGAAGCGTGCGGAATTAGGTGGAGTAATGGATATTTTGGAGACCGTAGCTAGTATCATGGGTAATCTTCTTCTTTCTATATATATAATAAATCTGTTGCACGTTTCGAGATTTTCGCGATGAAACATTGAAGATATAACTAATGAATTATGGTTAATTATACATTGCTTCCTCTATATGTGATCTGAATGTTGTGTTTTTTCCGTGCCTTTTGTTGTCATAAATGAATATAAGCGACTGTGGCTAGAAATCAAGAGCCTTATTTTTTTCCGTATTTGCCCGTCTAGGAGTGAAAGACGTAAAAACGGTCGGACATCGCACTCCATTGTCAGAGATCGGTATGGACTCGATGATGGCGGTGGAGGTCAAGCAAACGTTGGAGCGAGAATTTGATGTTTATCTCACAGCACAAGACATTCGAAGTCTCACTTTCGAGAAACTCCACAATATCGCCAACAAAGACAAGCGTTTCGAGCAGACTGAAATATTCGATTCGGCAGGTGTAAAATTTTTGATTCATTTATTGAGCAGTTTAGATATCGTACCAGATGTTTGCTTGGAGATGACTACAAGAAATGAGGCGAGCAAAAAGCAAATATTTCTTCTACCAGGAATCGAAGGTTGCGCAAGCATATTTAATTCATTGGCCTCGAAAATTAAAAGTCCCGTTACATGTTTGCAACACGGAGCAAATAATATCCCCATGAGCGAATCCGTGCTGCAGTCGGCTGCCACTCTAATACCTGTACGTATTAATATAACAGAGAAGGTATCTGTTCGATATTTCAATGAATCCATTCCAGATTGATATCGGATTATATCGATTAAAAAGTAATACAAAGACTTTTTATATCTTTCCTGTAGCATATAATATCGAAGATAGAGAATTCCGCAGAATTCATAATAGTTGGGTACTCGTATGGGTCCTTAATTGCTATCGAGGTAATGAGACTGTTGGAGGCCAGAAATTTCACAGGATATTTAGTATTAATCGATGGCACGCCTGACTATGTGAAAACTATGAAAGAACATCATTTTTCTTTCACCAATCTCCAGGAGTTTCAAAACAATATTCTCCTAAATGTTATGGATTTATTTTACTCTATCAATAATACATCGGTACGTTTGTTGTATAAAAATGAGTTTATTGTTATAATATAAAATATAATAATAACAATAACTGTTAACAGATTTTAATACAATTGTCCAAGCACGACACGTGGGAGAAGAAGTTGGATGCTTTTATCGAATGTCTCCCAGACGAAATTATACAAGCGACTTCGGTTGAAAATTACAGGATTTATTATACAATAACAATTTATAAGCATCTGGTCGCTATTCACGAATACAATGCGTCTTTACTGCCGCCACTGAAATCACATATATTGTTACTAAAACCCACAATGTCGTATTTACTTTCTGCAGATGAAAATGACGGCTTGAATAAGGTATTCTTGATGCAATGATCCGTAACAATGCGAAGTTTTCATCTTTGAAAATCAATTGACGACAATGTTAACCATTTATTTAGATAACCAAAGGTAACGTACAAGTCCGCTATGTCGAAGGTAATCATCTCACGATGTTGGAAAGCAATGAACTTGCTGATATTATTAATGAAATATCGTCTTAAGCAGTTAAGTTTTATAATGTTGAAAAGTTCGCGATTTTGTAAATCGAAGGAGTTAAGGTGGAAAGTGAACAGGGATACGCAGACATTTATTGTAAACAAAGCAATGATAAAATTTAATAAACTGGTATAAACTGATGTAAGCTTCTGTATTCTCTTATAATTTTTTATGGTAAATATACCGGAAGAGGGAACCTATCTCCATTGACCTTAATTTCTACATATATTTTCAAGATTACCCTTCTTAAGCGCCTTTCAAAAGGCGCCGAGCCACCTTCTATCACATCTCATATGTACTGTTTAATATATTTTTAACTTACACTGTGTCAGAAAAACAAGCTCTATTAATGAAACTTGTTTGTTAATTTCACTTATTAATAAACAATGAGCAGCGACTAAAATCTTTGAAAATTACTCAGGAAAATATCCTCTATATAAATAATACATATTAAGATCACAGCCATTGAAGCTGGTTCTCTTATTTGATATTATTTACAATTTGTATTTACATATACAATGTGTCTTATGACTCAGTACGAGGAATTCGTAGAGAAATAGAACGGATTAAAACTAATAGTAAATTACTGTTTTGTGATAATCTCAATTATTGAGTTGTTATTAAGTCTATACATAAGTTCAATATCTTTTTAGCAGGATTTTAATATTTATCCTATCTTTTAAAAAAACGATTAACTTGTTAATCTTCCCCACCTTTTTCCATATATTCTGCCATCTTTCAGGCAGCTGGCAAATCCCGTTTCAATAAAGGATGGTGGTTTAAACTCAATGAAGTCATCGATGCTTCCTTTCGACTTTCTCGGGAGATTGAAAGTAGGAATACACAAAGTGATGCTGAAGCAACCGGAATAGGTGATAATCCGTAGGGCCAAGATCTGGAAAAGAAACCGCATGTAGGAGAATTTTCCAGGTCAAAAAACAGATAAGTTCCACGGTCACTTTGCCGTGTGTGGCCGCACATTATCGTGCAGCAGAAGTACATGCCGGGTTCTGCTGCCGGTAAATAGTATTTTTCTCGCTTAAATTAACCCATTTGCATCCGTAAGCGGAATAATCCGCACATAATGATCATTATGTATCATTAGCCGTTGAATATTCCGCGACCCACGATGTTCACTTATTACCAACCGCGGAATAATATGTTCACAAAGACGTTCACTTTTCGCCAATGATACGCGTTAATGCACGGTGGTACAAGCCGACTGTCAGTTGAATATCTCCGACTTTTAAAGTTAGTTATGTATTTAGAGCTGTGATGCAAATGGGTTAATGAGTTGCTGTTGATAACGTTCAAAAGTAACAGTCTCATTGGATTTGAGCAACTCATAATAAATAACGCCTTTAAAATCCCATAAAATACTTACAAGGAACATCTGCGAAGTGTGTGTTTTCGATTTCAACGAAATTTGGCATATTTGTAGAGTAGCCAAAAGTAAAAGATCGTACTTTTTTTATCGGCATTCGCGCAGGTTTAAGGGATGAAACTACCCCTCAAATTTTCATCCCCTTTATATTATCTCGATAACTATTGCAGATAGGAAAAAGATTTTTAAACAAAAATTGTACGGTTTTGTTAGGAAAAATAAAATAAGTTTGGTTAAAATAAAAAAAAAAATATCTTTAATAATTAACAAATTGACCATAGGAAATTTAATTAATTAATTCATCAAATTCATCATATAGAAGAAAATGTTAGCATTTTTCATTCTGAATTCATTCATATATAATGTTTTATATTTAAATTATTCGTACATTGCAATTTTATAAGTGGAAGAGATACCATAAGCCAAGTGCTCGATAACGTGCGTGAGCGCTTAATCGCTATATCGCTACGCAAATAACGAATATCTATTTACATCTTTTGAACGCATTTTAAGTAATACAACAATATAAAATAATTCAGAAATTATTAATACATGAACGCGGACTGCCGAACATTTTTTTTATTTGTAACATACGAGGTTTGATAAAAATGTAACGAGAATTTTTAATTTTCTCGAAAAGTATTTATTTAATCTTCAACGTTTATCCCATCTCCTTCAAAGTAGTCCCCCTGTGATATTATACACTTATCCCAACGTAGTTTCCAGTTTGAGAAACTGGAAACTGGTGGAACGCCTCTTTAGGCATCGTCTTGAGCTGGATCTGCGATTTCGCCTTTATCTCATCTATTGTTGAAAAACGTTGTCCTTTGAGTGTCCTTTTGAGTTTGGGAAATAGGAAAAAGTCACAGGAGTCATGTCTGGAGAATAAAGTGGTTGCGACATCACAACGGTGTTGTGTTTCGCCAAGAACTGTTGGATAAGCAAAGTGGTATGCTCTCTGATTCGACATTTCGCCACACAAAAAATCGTCAAACACACTAAAGTACGTCTTGCTCACTCGCTCGCCAAACACAAACTAAACGTCGCAGCTGCTTGAAAATTGGCACGTATGTCACTGATAGTGCTACCAAAGTACACAAAGAAAAAATTAACTGAATAAACAAGATACAGCGCGCAATTTCAACATTCTCGTTACTTTTTGATCAAACCTCGTATATGTAAAAGTTGATTTAGTTAGTGGTTATTAGCTAGTATTGATTGTTGTCAAAGTTTCAATATATATAAGTTTATATATATACACAAAGTGATTCAGGACCTCTGCAACTCTGCAAACTTTAACCCTTTCGCTTCGCAGTCCAGTCCGCTGAAGTGCCGTCACTGAACGGAAGCACGCGCCAGAAATGTGCACAGTGCGCGGTTTTTGTATACGTTTTCCTAAGTCTTAAATAACAACTGTGCTTAATAAAACAATCGTTGCTCTAATATAACAAGTATAGTTTACATTTTTAATATAAAAAACTTAAACAAAATTATATTAGTTGTTCTAAAAACATTAGACCAATTATAGTTTATATATTTTTAGGTATTTGTATATTTATAAGACTTTACGATTAAATGTTTAATATAATTAATAATGTAACGCAAATTAGTTAATGTATCAAATCTCTAAAAAAAACGTATATTAAATATCGTTTCACTGTCGAATGAGTTCGATAGATTTTTGGAATGAAACAGTAAACGATCGTTTTGATGTCTGAAGTATATTACGTAATACGTTTTGATGTCGTAACAACAAAGATTAGTTTTAATGTGTGATTAATCCAATATGACAATAAAATCAACAAAAAGTGTTCTGCCGATAACGAAGAATTTATCATCGACTACAGATGGCATTTGTATACACATCATATGGATGCCAGATATATCCGGCGCTCGAAGCGAAAGGGTTAAGGGACGATAGGTCCTGTACAAAGGACCATTTTTTGTCAAACAACCAATGTTCTCTGACGCGTCGTTTCTGACGCGAAACGACCTGCATTTTATTTTCGTTCCGAAGAGACAAAAATATCGAGGGCGCGGTAGTCGCTAGACCGGGAATCAAACCAGGGTCTTTCGCTTGCCGGGCGACTGCTCTAAATCACTGAGCTATCTGACTCTCCACGCTCACGACATTCTCCTCTCCCTAGATATACCGCGTAGTAAGAAAGCGAAGGTCTTATATTATAGGTAACATTGATTACGACTATGACTTCCTTACTTATTTTAAAAAAGATACTCAAAGTTTCTACCCTGAACTTCATTGCATTCATGGCATCGTCGTAACATTGATTGGTGGGACAGGCACGGAAATGAAATATTAAATATCGGAATATGGATAATAAGATTTTAATTTAGACCCAAAATAAGAAAGATCCTCAAAAATTACAACGAGGTACGACTATTCGTTATCGAGAAATTAAAACGGAAAGTTCAAGGCCGATCGATGCGAAAATAGCGTGTTACCGGATATAAACTGCAAAATTATTTGCTATAAGACATTAATCTAGATTCGAAATAAGATTGATCCGTGCAAACCGCATCGAGCTGTGATTACGTGTTTCGACGTTATAAGCCACGAAAGATGGAAAAGTGACAGGCACGGAAATGAAATATTAAATATGGAAATATGGATAATAAGATTTTAATCTAGACCCAAAATGAGAAAAGTCCTCACAAATTACAACGAGGTGCGATTATTCGTTATCGAGAAATTAAAGCAGAAAGTTCAAGGCCGATCGATGTGAAAATAACGTATCACCGGATATAAGCTGCAAAATTATTTACTATAAGACATTAATCTAGGTTCGAAATAAGTGGTATGTTCTTTGTAGTTGCACTGCTGAACTGGTGCAATAAGTTAGAATGAGAAAACCTATATTTGTCTCACTTTAACTTATTGCACCAGTTCAACAGTGCAGCTACAAAAAACAGATCAAAGATTGATCCGTGCAAACCGCATCGAGCTATGATCACGCATTTCGGAGTTACAAGCCACGAAAGATGGAAATGTGACAGACTCGACGATAAGTTGTCACGAAATATTAATTATCAAAATATGAGTCATAAGGTTTTTTAATCTAGACCCAAAATAATATAGATCCTCGTGTACCGCACTGAGTTGCGATTACGCCTTTCGGAGTTACAGGCGACGAAAGATGTAAAAGCGATAAATTCGGAAATGATGAGTCATGAAGTGATAAGGAACGAAAAATGAATGATAATGTTTTAATCTAGATCCAGAATAACTAAAATTCCCGCAACTAGGTACGTCTATTCGTTATGGAGAATTTAAAGCGGTTAGATCAAAATAGATCGATGCGAAAATGAATCACTGGGCCTAAGCGTGCATATTGCTCCCTCTGTTGACCCTCGGGAGACATGTGATTCACGGAACGGAGGTCGTTTATTTTTGGAGTCAATCCTGGGAACCGACAATTTACTACATGGATAGCGTTAGTTCTAAAAATTGATCTTCCAATTGCCAAGTTAAAAGAACGCGATATCGTGATGAGGACAATTTTAAATTTTATAATACGAAGAATGTAAAATAATGTTACTCTTTAGACGTCGTTGAAGTTTGGAGCGTTCTTCGAGCGAAAATCGAAAATAGCCTTTATTTAAAACAAAAAGCACTTAATATAAATGTAAATACATATAAAAGATAAATATGTGTTAAATATGACATGACATTATAAGAAAGTTGTTCTTCCCGAAAATTACGCATATATAATCATTCATACAGATTATAATTATTTCCGGCACTCACAGCGCTCTGTGCCAAAAGCTGACAATGCATTTTCACTCTCTGGCATGTGGGAAAATAGAAAAAAATTAGTTTAACAGCAATATCGTAATTTTTTTCTACTTTCCCACATGCCAGAGAGTGAAAATGCATTATCAGTTTTTGGCACAGAGCGCCGTGAGTGCCGGACAGCCAAGTTCTCTCAATTTCTGACGGATCGTTAAATATGTATGCGGTCTGGCGTTGTCAGCGTGGTATATGACACCCTTTCTGTTGACCAGTTGCTGCCGTTTCTTTTGAATTGCTGGGTACAATCGCGCTAATTGTCGACAGTACAGGTTCGAGTCTATCGTTCTGCCTGGCGGCAGCAGTTCGTGATGCATGATGCTTTCCCAATCCCAAATATTATTTGTTCCCAATCCCACCAAACATACAGCATAACCTTCCTAGGCGTCAGTGTGGGTTTTGTCACAGACTGTGGAGCTTCTCCTCGCTTCGAACATGATTTTTTTCGCACATTGTTGTCGTAGGTTATCTACTTTTCATCACTCGTGATCAACTGCTTCAGAAATGGCTTGATTTCGTTACGTTTCAGTAGAGATTCGCAGATAGAAATTTGATCGAGAACATTTTTTTGAGTCAGATCATGTGGCACCCAAACATTGAGCTTCTTTTTGTAGCCAGCTTTCTCCAAATAGTTTAACACTATTTGGTGATGGATGTTTAAGTCATTGGCGATGTCATGACTGCTTACATGCCGGTCTTGCTCGACTTTTGCCAGAATATCATCCACTTTTTCTGTGATTGGTCGCCCACTGCGAGGAGCATTTTGGACATCGAAATTTCCAGAACGAAAGCGACTGAACCATCTTTTGGCTGTTGCTTTTGATAATGTATCTTGCGCATAAACAGCACAAATTTCCTCACGGTCCTGCGCAGCATTTGTGCCTTTATCGAAATAAAATTGTAAAATGTAGCGCAGTTTTGCGGAAAGTTCACTCATCTTCTGATTATAAAAATTGCAACACTTTTTGTACATCTACTAGCTTCAACTGTCAGCTGTCAAATGACGTTAGGCCTGACCTGCTGCGACTCATATACCCTGAGCTATGGAACACTAACGCTATCTCGTGCGCAAAAGGCTCAATACTTTTTAGAGAGATACTTGATAGATAGACAGACAGAGATTGACGAGAGTAATTGCAGATTCATAAAATCATGATTACTAGTCGGATGATGACGGATTGTGATTTCGCTGAGCGCGAAATTCCGACTTCTTATTCCCGGAAAATTCGTCAAACGTCCGTCTCGTTATCGAAAACCTCCCGCATAATAAATGATTCCACATACCTGGAAACGTGACATATCGCTGCCGGTGTCTTGTTTCCCGGCTGCTAGAGTCCATCGGATTTCACTCGATCACTCGCTTCTAATGCCGATACTCGTGATTCGACCGTGCGGTTAATCAACGCGATGCTGACGCGATGCCGATTGAGTATCTCGTGGACCGACGAGATACATTTCTTTCAATCACACGAGACGGAAGTGACGAACGCGTCGCGCACGGCTGCTGCTGATGGAATGAGGTCGAGTAGCACGTGAAGTGCACGACTAATAATACGAAGGGCAAAAAGTGTCGTCGTTCCCGAGCCGTTCAACACAATCGGCGCGATGTAAACATTGCGGGCCTCAGCGGCGGTTGAAGCAAGAGAGACTTGCCCTTGGGCGTCTCTTCTTTTCTCGAAGGTTCCGGAACGACGAGGGGAATGCGAGGAGGCCTTTCAACTGTACGCGACATTGATTTACTATTTATTGATTACTGAAAATAAAGAAAATTATTCTGTCGAAGCATCGGACATTTATTTTTGTTTATTTATTATTTGTTAGCTTTATGTTAATTAAAGAGGGATGTGTACGATTAGAAAATGTGTTAGCAACTAATTGTACAGAGTGTCAAAGTTGTTGTGACGCCGTTTTCGGAGAATAATTAAAGGTCATAGTAGCGTTAAAGAGTGGAATTTCATCCCATGCGATCCCATTTGTCTCGTTCTTATTACATGTTAGATTATCCGCTGCGGACAATAACTCTTCTACTTTTCATCTAAATTCGTTTGGTTTTTTTTATTTCGAAAATAAAAAAATATATACCAGGGTGAGATTTCACCCATGACAACATTAATGTGATTTTCTTTGATGCTTTTTTTAAAAGTTCAGATATTTCGTCGACTCGCGGATTATTTATAATCGGAATCTCGTCGCGTTAATTAATACGTGCTCCTCCGAGCGGATCGAATGCTCACCGACGGCCACTGTCAATGTCACGAGCGAAAGTTCGGAGCGGACGGGATATGCTGAATTGTGAAGCAGGACGAAGGGAACGGGACGCGGGCAACGATACATCATGCGTCTCCAGACATATCAAATCGTTCATTATACAGGAGACTTTGATGCGGCAACATGTATTCGAAGATTTAATATTTAATACGTACTTTTATTTTTCCTGGTCCCCCCTCTCCCTTCCCCCCCCCCGCGCTCTTTTTAGATCTCTGGGCATAGTCTGACATAGGTCGGTATTCATAGTCGGGTCTTATATTTAAGACCGCCTTGAGTTCACCTACAGATACCTCGTAGCCAATAAAATAATTTATACAAGATCTGAAGATGAACTTAAGATGATCTTAAATATAAGATCCGACTATAAATGCCGGCCATAGAGATGACAACTGTGGTTGCAGCACGGACATAAACCGCCTGAAAGTGGATGTAGCATGGACTTCCACCACATGCAGATTTTACCACCGAGACCTGAAAGTGGATGTAGCATCGTAGTTCCTCTCTCGAAATGGATGCAGATGGCGCCCTTTCCCAGTGCGGAAAGTCGGTGTCGCAGAAAATGCCGTGTTGGCCGCTTACAGGTTTCTTTCTGCTGATACATACATACGCTAAGGGCAGGTTGTTCCAACTACTTGGTAAGTTAACCGATAGTTAAATCATGTGTCTGTCTTCGTCTAAGTTGAAGGAAAGACAAAGATAAACATATGATTTAACTATCAGTTAACTTACCAAGGAGTTGGAACAATCGGCCCTAAATCTCGTAAGACCAACAGTCTTTGGGTGCGTTCACGACACTCAGTTGCGCAACTATTGAGTAATTCGTCAACGTTATTGGTCCGAATGTAAGAATCTAATGGTAAAGACCAATAGTCACTAATCGTTCAGTGAGCAGTTTTCTCCGCTAAACGCACCCATTATAGTATTTCGTCGGTGGTAGAGTGAACAAGAATCATGCACGCTTTGCCATTATCGTCAGGACGGGCGTAGTGTGCACACATTTTCTCAGGTGGCGCGTCAGAAAAAGCGTCCTGGCGTAATCGGCTCAGTGGCCGCTCTCAGGTTTTTCTCTGATCACTTGTAAAAGGCTCCGTCCTGCTGATGCTTTTAGTCCATGGTTTATGTGTGCCGGCTGTTTCAAGCATCAAAACAAATCTGTGTGTTTTGTATTCCAGTAATCATCTTTGACGGATCGATCAAGTGAAAGAGACGATATGAGTCGCAGGAAAAGAGCGAAGGTGTGTCTTAAAATCTGTCTGACATCATTCAAATTTTTATTTGATAATGTTTTGTTATAATTCGTAATACTATTTATGATTATGTATGTCAACGTCAATTGTAAGAATAAAACCGTATTGTCATTTCCGACTTGAGTTTTGAAATTGCTTTTATGCCGGACACTATTTCGTAATTGTGCACTAAGAATCTGTTTCTCTGGCTGACAAATTAAGGTTATATTTTGGTTGTGTGCGTATACTATAATCTGCTATGATATGTTTGCTTTGAAATTTTTAGTTTTATACTGCATTACTTATTTTTGTGTAAAGATGTTTTTTTGTGTCTGTGTGAAGTATTTATCAGACTTAATTCTAAAGAAAATTGTATTTTATCATAGGTTGAATATAGAGAAATGGAGGAAAAATACAATCAATTGGACGATGATAATGCCTCAGATACAGAAAAATCAAAGCCTGGTCTAGTAACTCCTGAGAAAAAAGTTTCCACAGATGGAAGGAAAGAATCTGAGTCTACAACACCAGCTTCGGTACCTTCTGCTTCAAAAACTGAGTGTAAGGAAGAAGATGATCAAGACAGTGATCATGAAGATACACATGGTACTGTATAATTAAACACTTTTATTAATCTATCTGTTAATCATAAAATTAATGCCTTGATATTTTTTTTTCGTTCAGTAAAGGAATTGCTGAATGGATTAGAGGGTGCAGCCTTTCAGAGTCGTCTTCCGTTTGATAAATTGACATCCACTGAAGCTGCATGTTTTCCTGACATTTCTGGTGGACCACCACAAACGCAGAAAGTGTTCTTGCATATTAGAAATAGACTGGTAAGCATCTGGTTTGCAAATGGCATAATTGTACCATTTTTCTTTTAATACAATTATATTTTAGCTGCAAATTTGGTTGGAAAATCCAAAGCAACAATTGATTATTGAAAATGCATTACCTGCTATTGAGCCGCCTTACAACAGCGATCCAGTTTTGGCTCGTAGAATTCATGCCTTCTTAGAACGTCATGGTTTTATAAATTTTGGAGTCTTTAAACGTCTTAAGGTAATGCAACAAACATAAAAGATATCATGTTTATACTTTACAGTTTATTATTTTTTTTACATATATTTTAATATTGCTTTTGTACTAAATCTATGTTGTACTAATCTCTCTTTGAATTTTACATATATATATGGACATATTGGAAAAATTGGGAATTTACTTTTGTTTGTTGCAGCCTTTACCTACTAAAAAATTAGGTAAAGTCATTGTGATAGGAGCCGGAATTGCTGGTTTGGCAGCAGCTCAGCAGATGCAACAGTTTGGCTTAGAAGTAATTGTGTTTGAAGCTAGGGTGAGTATAGAATTACAATGTTATTTTATATAATTTTATTTTTATTACATTGCTAATTACGTCTATATATTTATAGGATCGTGTTGGCGGACGAATCGCCACGTTTCGTAAATCATCTTATATCGCGGATTTGGGCGCCATGGTAGTCACAGGTTTAGGTGGAAATCCCGTAACGACTCTCAGCAAGCAAATCAATATGGAGCTTCATAAAATACGGCAAAAATGTCCGTTGTACGAAAGTGATGGTCAAACGGTAAGCACAAAAATATGTTTATATCGAAACAACGAATTGTTTAGATTTTTCATCATTGATGCACGCGTAACAAAATTCGACACATTTATAATTACAAATTATACCATGTAGGTAATATTTTGTTAAGATGAAAGTGTTCCAACACAATAGTTTAAAAATGTGATAAAAATTAAACACGATATCTCGTTCTTTTGCAGGTCCCGAAAGATAAAGACGAAATGGTCGAAAGAGAGTTCAATAGATTGTTGGAAGCCACCTCTTATCTTTCACATCAATTAGATTTCAATTACGTAGGTAGCACTGGATCCGGTGGACAAAGTGGTAATACACGTCCAGTGTCTTTGGGACAAGCGCTAGAATGGGTGATACGTTTACAAGAACAAGGCGTGAAGCAACGTCAAGTAGCTCATCTTCGTTCTGTACTCTCGTTACAAGGACGATTAGTTACCAATCAACATAGAGTATGTATATACATCATTACTATCTTTAATTAAATTAAACTATTAAATATTTTTCAGTTATGCGTAATTATATGACAAATCAAATGACGATTGACTTTTATCGCAGATGATCTCTATTATGGACCGTTTGGTAGAATTGAATAAGCAGTACAAGGAGATGGCTGAGTGCAAACCACAAAATCGAGATATAACGCAAGAATTTGTGCTCCGTTCTAAGTTGCGTGATCTCCATAATGCTTGCAAGGTATGTGATTTTACGAAGGATATGCTTTGGATATGAAGTTATAGATAAGATACAAAACATGCATGTTCTTTTGTACCTTAGGAGTGGGATCAGTTGTCAGATCAGCAGAAGGAAATTGAAGCGAAACTGCAGGAATTAGAGGCCTCACCACCCAGGTAATTTTATATACGCTTGAATTATACATATTGAATTATAAACGCATTATAAATATACCGATGAAATAAATATCCTACTTATTCAAACACAGTGACGTCTATTTGTCATCCAAAGACCGGCAGATACTGGATTGGCACTTTGCAAATTTGGAATTCGCCAATGCAACGTCGCTCTCAAATTTGAGCTTGAAGCACTGGGATCAAGACGACGATTTCGAATTTACCGGAAGTCATCTAACTGGTGAGTACGTCAACATTTACCGTTTGATTGATTCGTAGGTTTCTGCGCGCATAAAAGATTCGATGAATCGAAAATGCATGAGAACGTACCATTTTGTACCGTACATAATTTTTTTTCTGTAGTACTACATAATTTATGTACGACGAGAAAAAGCGGTTAAAAATTAAATAAGAAAATTGATAAGCGTAACGAGCACTGTTACGTGAATAATTGCGCGCAGTGTTGTTTCCTTAAACCGTAGGGAAAAGAATAGCGTGTGCGTAAGTTATCGCATATTATTAATTATCTGCGAAACACGCTCTCTCTCTCTTTCTCGCGACTAATGGCATCGCGCGGGCGATCGGAACGTGTACGATCTTGCAGTCAGATTCGCGCTGTGTACTCGTGTTTGCTCAGACACGCACAAGCCAGCTAGTCGGCCGATGTTCTTTGGAAATTGCTGAACCAGAGAGGAGATGGCGGATAGAGATAATGAGTGAATTATTCGCGAGTCGCATCTCCTTTATAGGCGTTTGATACTCTCGCTCTTCGCGTCCCTATAGTTGACTTTATCAACCTTATTGAAAGCCGATAGCATGAGATTCCGTGTAGATAGTCGCCGTACCCATCGGACCGATCGAGTACCAGAGTTCTCATTATGTGAAATTATACTATGATCATAGCCCGTAAAGTCTTACGAGCTTACTAAGGCGGCGACAGGAAAGCACGCAGCTTAAAAATACTTTACGCTCGTCGGCGGACGAGTATCTTTGCGTCTAATGTCGGCGAGTAACTTGTCGCGCCGATTTTACGAGATGCGTTCGCGCATCGGAACGTGCGTTCGACACGCGCGTTGTTTAACGCTTATCTCTCTATTACGTCGAATTTTATTACACCTGACATCTGTGCATCGAGGATTATCGAAAGCATCATTTCACCGTTACGTGTACATTTCGCCATGAAGTCAGTTGGTCGGTTCGCAATAAAGAAACGAGACATCGATTTAGAAATATTGTGTCGTGTGAGACCCAAGTGATCTGTCGGATTTTTCCGGAAAAATGAGACGACTATATTTTCACGCCGTTATAATTTTACCAAACTGCGTGTTCACCGCTTATATCCATGAGAGATCTCCCGTCATCCTTCGCGCTTGCATTGTTTCAGAAAGTTAAGACTACACAAAGATATAATCGCCCGGTTCAATCTGAAGAGTCCGAGAAACTGCTCATTACTCAAGACTCGATATAATTAAAATCAAACCAGTAAAATTCGTAAGGAACGTCCCCTCTTGCCCCGTACTTTTTTTCCTTCGCGTCGCCGCTATCTCCCCTGATCTCGAACAGCCGCGAGTCCCACATGTCCGCGAGATCTCTCGCATCGTTATCGATTCCGCGTTACACACTTACATCTATCCACGAGATCTATCGCACGAGATCGCGAAGAACACCGACATGATGTTCGCGTCGTGGAAATCCCACTATCTCCTCGCCTCGGTCTTCGCGGTGCTCGATGCGCCATCGAAACTAGTCGATATCGCTACTCCGCCGTAATACTTCGGCTTAACCGCGTGTGCCGCTACCGCGCTGAGAAGAACCCGAGATGAAGAACCCGACGATGAGAATCGGTCGAGCGACTGGAAACCGCTTCAAATACCGGTCCCGTCGAAGTCGTTCCATCGACGCGAAGTGGAACGTACGTGCGAGGAGAGGAGAGCTCGCTCGCTCGCTCGCTCGTTTGCTTGGTCGATCGATCGATCGATCGATCGATCGGTTGGTCGGTCGGTCTGTTGGTCGGTCGGTCGGTCGATCGGTCGATCGATCGATCGATCGATCGGTTTTGGATCGGATCGGGCGCGGAACCAACGCAAGCGGATGCGGCTCACCCTGAAACGAGAGAACCGCGAGATACGCTCTTGTTTCGGCCGCTCGGGAGAACGTGTGGCGGTCAATATGAAATTAAGGGATGGCTAAGGAAGGAAGGGGGCGGGGGGAGGAGGGAGGAATGGAGAAGGCGAAGAGGACGAGGGTCCGGTGGGCTGCGGCACCCATGACTGACGTGCATCGATAATCATGACGGTCTCGCTGCAGCAGGTCCCACCGTCGTCCCCCGTGATTAATGAGATGTAAACAATTTAACGCTAAATTAAGCGCAACAATAGGTTCTGCCTCTGTCCCTCTGTCTTTCTCGCTTTCTCTCTCCCTCCTCCCCCTCTGTCACTACCTCTCTGTTTCTCTCCCTCCCCCCTCTCTCTCTCTCTCTCTCTCTCTCTCGCTTTCTCTCGCACTCGCTCTCTCTCTCGCTCGCTCGCTCGCTCGCTCGCTCGCTCGCCTGACGAGAAGCCCTCTCGGCGGAGTTTCGGGCGAGCACCGGTTCACCCGATATAATCGGACGCCCGAGGTGGATTGTCCGCGGCGCGCTCTTTACGGACCATCAGTTCCTTCTCGGTTTCAAACGAGGCCCGCCGACGGGACGGTCGCGATTTTATCGGGAAACGCACCGAAAGTAAAACAATACTTTATGGGACGTTTCTCGCTCCATCTCTTTACGAGACTCCGACCTGTCTCTCTCGTCCGATGGCTCTCGACCGTGGCACCGTGCGTCGCACCGGTATCGCTCTCTCGGTGTCTTATCTGCGAAAGGACAGCAGCCGCTTCTTCGTCCTTTGCGCGTCGGGACGCTCGGATTTTATGATCTACACGAAAGCTCGCTGGCGATCGATCCCTTCGGCCACTTGAGGAGAGAGCGCTCGGTATGAATGCGCTGAGAGGGAATAAATAGTGGCAATATTTCAAATCCGTCCCGTTCTTCCCCTCTCGTTTTAGCACCGAGTCACCTCGTTTTACCACCGAGTCGGCGTCCGTTGAACCCAGTCTGAGTTTTCGAGCTGGTCTCTTCAGCGGCTCTAATTATTTGCGAGGATTGCCGTTTCGGGACTTGTATCTCTTCTTGGAAAGAAAAAAACATTCTGGGAGCAGAGAGGACACTTACTTCATTTTCCCTTAATAGAATGGAAGTCATTCCGCTTCGCAATTATCCCGAAGGTTAATGGAAAAGCGATAACCGGTTATACATGTCGGCCTCGTTTAGCCTGCGATTACACGGAAAAATGCCGTCGAATCGACAGAATTGGCCAACACCGCCGTCCTGATCGGAGTACATCTTTCTTGCTCGACGGTGACATTATCGGAACTAATACTCGAGTCGTGAAGACGACACACGACGTGTTAGTTTCGATAGCGTTGCCATTGAATGAAGAAAGCCCCTCTCCAATTACCGTCGTTCCCGGTTCTGCCGATTCGACGGCACTTATTTCCGTCTAACTATCGCGATCTCCCGGCATCTTTATGCTCAACAAGATTGTGTTCTACGAGAACTGAGCGCAAAAACGCTCAACTCGATCTCTGACTGGGTCACACATATTTCGCGCAGGCAACAATTTCCCGCATTTTGATCGTCAATGCACACACACACACACACACATGCGCGCGCGCGCGCGCATATCTACACACGGCGTGAAGTTAAGGGAGAAGAAAAAGCTCGCAAAAGTAGCTGCCCGCGCGTTATTCTTGTTCGACGAAAAACACAGCGACGTGATCGCGAAGCACTATTTTATCCCCCTCCGTCGCCCTCCTCCCTCCGCCCCGGCTCGTAACTTCTCATTTCACGCACGTTCACGCTCTCTCTGAGACTGAATACTGCGAAACGTGCCGTTGCGCTCTTTCTTCCCGCACTTTATGCGGTTATTGATCCGACCTATGCAGTCGAAGCTATTCCCGGGGAATATTCGGCGCCGAAATTTATGGATGTATCTCGAGGAAGAAGCGGCCATCACGGTCACCTCGACCTCCGGGACCGGGCTTTTCGATCAGCCATATAACGGAGAGTTACCGAGCTTTGTTGGCCGGCGACGAGACCGGCCGCGTCGTCAATGTTTTCGGCCTGAACGACGACGATGACGACGATGCCAGTCTTTCGTTGGTTAAACGGCGCAAGACGTAGGCAGCGCTCGATGATGCGCGCACATACAGGACGTTCCGCGAAGTCCTGAAAACCTCGAGCCCGAAAAGATACCGACGATGGGGATTTCACCGGACGGATGTGATCATCCCTTCTGTGTCGCGACTTTTTCAACCTTCATCACGCAACTGCACCTTCGATAATTGAGCTTCAATTAACGCTTCGATGGAATCCCATTTAGATGAAAAATTACGCCGCGATTGCCCCGATCTCGGCGAAGATATCGGTGGGAAATCGTCCGGTAAAAATCCCTTAATCCCCCTGACTTTAATCCGCCGAGTCGCACCCGATCGCCTGGACATTCTCGCGCTAAAACCTCACAACGAATTCTCGTCGTCCCCGAGGACACGTTCGCCATCCAAGACGCGATTTATCTTCCGTGCCCGAAAGTGCAGCCCGAGAATTATGCCTTGCATGTAGCAAGTGAGCATCTGCGCATGCGTGTCGAAGTGGGCTCGAAGAGGTTATGTAACACAGCCGATGCCTACGGAAGTGAATTTTTGCGATAGAAAGCAATCTGTACACAATGTTGTGTGAAGAATTGTGTAGACACGTGGAAAAATAATTAATTAATTTTTTCGTCTTACGGTACTATAGGTCTATTCCGAAATTGGTTTCGGGAGTTTTGGTTTCAGGTACAAGTAGGTTGGTAGGCTCTATAGTTGATCAGCTAATCACGCTTGGATGTCACAACCATGTACCAATTCTGCTTACAAACTCGGTCTTAGCTATTAATTTTGCAATATTAGGCAAAGAAATGGATAGATTTTTCGTTGTTTGTTATCTTCATAATTGATCAGCTACAAGACATATCTAAGTTGGTTTAAGGTCTACCAACATTAAAACCAAAGTTTCCGAAACCGATTTTCTCATAGGGCTTGTATACGACAAATCGCGCGTGTAATGCACGCAATGTATATTGCTGAAACTTGGTCCAATCAGGCGTGACTGCCACTCCATTTGCGCGACGCTTATATTTGAGCGATGAGTTCTGCACGCGTTTT